ACAGGAGTCTCTCAATTCTGTGTATTTTTACACTGAAATAAAATGAAAGGCTTGGGCTTTGTGTCAACTTTTTTATTTAGCTAAAAAGAGAAATACAAAGAAAGATTTAAGAAATGTGCAATGTAGTAAAATCTTGGCCAGAAGTGATCGTGACTTGTTAAGTTGAATGCTTAGAAATTATAAGTTTAAGTTTCTAAATTCCACATGAACAACTTGAGTTTTAAGACAAAGAAGAAATAATGACTTTTGCAAATGTAAAACCTCAGTTATCATTGTATTTAATTGCACTAAAACTCTTTAGTGGTCCCTGCAAAAGGAAAAACTGTTATTTTGAAAAGCGGTTCAGTTTCTTGTTTTTTTTTTTTACTAAAAAAATAAATCCTGGAATACAAAATTATGATATATAGTGTATGCTATAGTTATAAATCACCCCTGTTGTTTCTTCCTAACAGGAAATTGGATGCATGGATAAAAAAACAGAACTGTCTGAATATGTATTGCCATGAACCAATCTATACTTTTTAACAGTCAGATTTTTAGAAAAGAAAGAACTTTACCAAACTATATAGTCCTCAGAACAGGTGGGATACTTGTATTTCTTTTATTTATGCTTTTCTGTTTATATATGCCTAAATGAAGGTCAAATTTTTCTCAGTGAGAACACTTTAATGCAGGGTTTTTACAGTATGTCTATGTCACAGGAATCGCTTTGGAAAATCCGAAGTGTTATAATGAGCTTAATTGATTTTCTAAACCAAGAGTAGAAAAAGGTATAAATAATAGGGTTTAGACAGGAGTTAAAGTCAAATAAAAATATCACAAAAGCAGTGGATGAGGCATTAAGTAAGCATCTTGGCCTGTAAGTATGACACAGAATGCTGGTAACAGACATATCAGGAACACAACTACTACAACCCCGAGGGACCCGGCTACTTAACCTCAGATTTCTTAACATTTACAGAACCATGAAGAGTCAATCCTGCAGTGTGAGAGTGTATAGCTCGAATCTGAGAAACTGCCACCACAAATATTCTGAGATACAAAACTACTATTATAGTGATGGGTACTATAAAGGTAAAAATAAGATCTACCATACCAGCAATGTAATTAATGACAATGACACATTCACCTAAGCAGGAGTTAAATATGCCAGGTTGTTTGAAGTTCTCCATCAGATTAACACTGCATGAAAAGTGGGATTTTCGTCAATATGCGGCACTGTAGATTGTCGTGGAACTTCAGGTTAGCGGCAGTTTACGACAATTTGCAGGCTTCGCCGAAAACTCCCGTAAATTGTCAGAAATTGACGTGGACTCTCTTAGGCAGTGTTCCCCCCATGGAATTCTAGGGGAGGCTTTAACATGTAAATGAACATGCTGTGAGCTATACAAATGCAAACCAGGGTTGCAGGGGGGGTTTTACCCCAAGTGACATCTTTCTGGGTAAGAAAATCTCTGATACAAAGAGATCAGGCTCAGTATAGCCTCTTACATTTTAGCTTGAATTGATTTATTTAATTAAAGTATAGAGACCAAAACAGATCTTTAGCTGAAAGAGCAATACATTTAGAGCAGTAATTATAAAAAAAAAAATTGCATTTAAGATAAAAAATAAAATGTCTGTCAATATGCTCAATTCACAATTACTTAAGTGGAAAAGTTTCAAGAAATGAGTCTGAGATGATTTACTTTATAACATGGCGCATTATCCTGTTGGAAGTAGCCATGAGAAGATTGGTACACTGTGGTCATAAGGTCCGGCCAGGTCAAGATCCGCAATTGCAATCGCACCAAACAGGAAAAAGAACATCGACAAATTCCGGTTCGTCAAATTAAAATATAGCAGCAACAGATCGGTGACTAGAAATTATAGCACAATTCTTATATATATATATATAAAAAAAAAAACTAACACCGTTTATTTAAATGATTGGATCCAAACTATTGGTTATTCACAAACGAGGAAGCAGATTTCTCATCTCCATCAAAATATTTATTTTATACCGAGGGACTTAAACTTTAATCAAATCCATTCAAAAGAAACTTCTTATTACAGGAATGAAAAGAGATGCTGAGTTTGGAAGTAGTGAACAAGTTCATTAAAAAAAAAGCAGTTTTGAATTATCCTTATCCCCGTTACAAAAATCTACAAAAATATATATATATATATATTTGGGCAGAAACTGAACATATGCTGGATGATGGTGGGATTTTTTTAATATGTCATATTAAATTAAGCGCTCACAGGGTTCATACAGGAATGAGTGACTCTAATTTAATGCTATTTTAATGCTATTTGAAATGATTTTAATGCCATCAACAAGAACCATGTACACAAGTTATTAGTGTACATGAAATATGAAGGAGCTGCAAGCAGAGTTCCATGACTCCTGTATGTATGTAAACACACACATACACATACTGTATATACGTATATATATATCCTCTAGCTTTTTCTCCGCCTGGAGCGATATAATATATCTGACGAAATTGTTTTTATAAGCATTTTTTATTAAAGAATTATAAATACTTCGATAAACATATTTAAATAATTTTAGTGCCAATTAAGGCCTTGATTAAAAAAAAAAAAAAAAGAATGATTTTTTAATTATTTTTATTGATCCGCGGACACCCTGGTTCATCTCGCGCATGCTCTGTACGATCTCCAAGAAACTCAGAGCGGCGGGGCTGGATCCACAGTGGAGGATGGATGCTTTGCTTTGTGCAGGCGGTCTGGAGCGGAGAATGGGGGATTTCGGGGTAAAACTCCTCTTGGACGCGATGGCGACTCTGCATCGAACAAGACGAACTCAAAGAAGAGATGCTAGCCGTAAATATATGTTCGATTACTGCCTGCTAAGCTAAAAGCGGCCTAGCCTGAGCTACGGCTAATAGCGGCTAATAGTAGCCTTGCAAGAACAAGCTTTATTAAAGTGTATTTTTTGTGATTTACAGGAAGCAGTACGCCGTCTCAACAACTCGGAGACTAATTGCAGGTGCTATGAACCGGAGCAAGGGTAAGATTTAAAGAATATGCTTTCATTCTGCGGTAAAAGGAAATGGATACCGATCATAGCTTTACATTTTGTTTTCACAGGCCTCCTATTTGCTCGGAGCCATCTCGGCAAGTCCAGATTTGCACGATGTTGATAAAGACGACATTGTGTGTAAGTGACTTGTTTTAATGTATTCTCCTTCCTTGTTACTGTGACTTGCATTTGATTTTTTATTTATACCACTCTCATTTAATTGTTTTCCAGCTGCCTGTAAGACGTATTTTCAGACGGTACGCAGGAGCTTCAGATATACGCAGCCAGCCAACACGCTGCGTGCGGAGGCTATCTGCTCGGAGTCGGGCCAGAAGAAAGAGGGTAAGACTTTATTTGGTGACTATTTTTCAGGTGCATTGATAGATGTGTTGTGTCCATTCGCAGTGCGCTGATTCATTGTTTTTTTTTCAGCTGCTGAAAGCGAGGCAGAGTGTGCTAGCAGATGAGGAAGTGGAACTCTGGAAGTCCGCCTTCCTCAGCGGTGTCTCTGGATGGATTGTACGGTCGCCGACATTTCGTAGGCCGGATCCCTCTGAACTCTGTGTTAAGCTGCAGTCCCGGTTAGAAGCGATGCCGAAGTACAGGGCCACGCACAGTAGGCGTCTGCACATCGGACCTGCCTCGGAGGGAATGCTGCCAGTTACCTCCAACCCCGAGGAAGCAAACGGACCGTTCACGGACTTTTAATTTTTAGAAACGCATGTGTTTGGATACGCGTTGTATATAGTTGTGTGTGTTTTAATAAAGCTCTTTCTTTGCATAAAAAGCTTCCTGGCAAATCTTCATTTCCTGTATAAATTCATTCATGTCCTTGATGGTAGCATAATAATTGTGTAGTAGTGTAGGATAACATAAACACACACCATATGAATGAATAAATATATGAATGAATAAATATATGAATGAATAAATAAATATATATATATATGAATAAATATATATATGTAAATTTATATGTAAATATATATATATGCCAACCAATCACGAGCGACTTTACTTGTTTAAAAAGAAGTGGTTCCGTCCAATACTCAGTAAGAAAATTAAAGCCTGGCGTGGCCACGTGTGGTTTTGCTGCCAATCACGAGCGATTTTACTTGTTTGAGAATAGTGGTTTCAGCCAATACTGAGAAGGTTATTCAAGCCAGACCTGGCCAGCCGCCCGGGTTTGCTGTATTCATATGCTAATTAGGGCCATTAGTACAGCTGATCGCTCTCCACATACGTCATGGTACGTTTCCGACAATTTGTGGCACGACAAACGCGGACAAGCACGGGTTGCAAATTGTCGGAAACTGACGAAAATCAGGCAGATCTGCAGGAGTTTACGGGGTTTAGGGGGACGAAAATCTCACTTTTCATGCAGTGTAAAGCTCTGAAACACCACAGACCAGGTCCAACACAGGGAAACACATATTTGCACTTTCTTCTGTGTTATTTTAATATTGTAATGTAGGGGGTAACATATAGCTACGTAACGATCAATAGATATCATCACCAAGGTTCCTATTGAGGCAGTGGTAAAAACATAAGCCGGATAGTGTAATATGACACAGAAACTGTCACCCAGAAGCCAGCAGCCATTTAACAGAACAATTTGAGAGGACATGAGGAGACCAATAAAGAAATCAGAGACAGCCAGAGAAAGAAGGAGCAGGTTGGTGGGAGAGTGGAGCTGCCTGTGGAGAAAAACAAAAGCAGATTTACCTTTTCTAGTCGGTGTAATCCTTCATTTTTTGTAGAAAAGCATATTTGCTGTAGTACAAAACCCAAACTAATTTACAGCAGTTCCAATCATTATTGTTAAATTTGCTAACTCATTTGAAACCTGAAGTGTGAGATAGTGTCATGATGGGTTCACTGATGAGACCCAGTAATGCAGAACACCACGGAGACGGAAACAAGAGTAAAAGTTTTAACAATGTTTATTGTACACAAGCACATGGAATAATGTCAGGAACTGGTTCAGACCTGGGGACTGGTTCACTGGAGTCTGTGTAGATAACAGAGCAGTTAGCTTTGAAAGCAATTGGGTTTGGGTTTTGTGATGTTCAGGTTTATACCTTGAGGGTTCCGGTTTGAGCTCAGAGAGAGGAACTGTTGGGTCCAGAGAAGGTTTGTTTCAGCAGAGTCCGATAACTGCTTCAGCGTCATACTTCTGAAGAGGGAGCAGACCTTGGCTTTGGGTTTCCAGCTCTTAATCCAGAACTGCATGGGAAATCCAGAGAGGAGTCTTCGGGTTTGGCTCAGAGGGCAGGCTCGGCAGTCTAAGCTCATCCAGAGCTCACAGAGAAAAACTGGTTTCCTGGAAACAGAGACACAAAAGGATTAGAATCCTAGCAGGACTCAGAGAGCAATAAAAGATTCTCAGAAGGTTCTTTGGCTCAGGTGCTAACCAACTAGATTCAACACTGCGGCGTCGAGGCAAGGTCTGAAGACAGCTTTTATACTGTGGATCCTCTGATGATGGAACGAGCCTCAGGTGCGTCGAAGGGTCGGCTCAGGAGGATCCACGGCAGACTCTGCTGGAGGAAGGTGGTACTTCTCCAGCTCCCAACAGTACCCCCCCTCAACGACCGCCTCTTGGCGGTCCAGAAGATGTCGATGGCAGAGAGCGCTCATACTCCTCGATCAATGAAGGATCGAGGATGTAGGAGCCAGAAACCCACCGGCGATCCTCCGGACCGTAGCCCTCCCAATCGACGAGGTACTGCCAACCGCAACCTCGCTGACGGGAGTCCACGATCCGGCGGACGGTGAAGGCAGGATGTCCATCGACTTCCAGGGCGGGTGGAGGGGAGTCGGAAGGTGGGCACAAGGGACTCGAGATGACTGGTTTAACCTGGGAGACGTGGAACGTGGGATGGATGCGGAGAGTCGGAGGAAGTTGTAGACGTATGGCTGAGGGGTTGATGACCTGGGTAATCCTGTATGGACCAATGTATCTGGGTGAAAGCTTGCGGGGGATGTCCCGCGTGGATAGCCATACCTCCTGTCCAACTGAGTACACTGGGGCAGGACGTCTCCTAGAGTCGTCAAAGCGTTTGGTTGTCTCGGAGGAGCAATTGAGAGTGGCGATGGTTTCTCTCCAGATGCCCTGGCAGCGACGGATGTGTTGGTTGACGGACTGGACTGAGATCTCTCTTTCGTCTGCGGGGAAAAGAGGTGGTTGGTAGCCAAGACTGATCTGAAATGGAGATTGTCCGGTGGACGCTGATTTGAGGGAATTGTGGGCGTATTCTATCCAAGTGATGTACTGGCTCCAATCGGTGGGGTTACTAGACGTCAAGCAGCGAAGGGTAGACTCGAGCTGTTGATTCATTCGTTCTGTTTGTCCGTTTGACTGTGGATGATAGCCGGAGGTTAGCGAGGACTTACAATTGAGAGCAGAGCAGAAGGCCTTCTAGACTTGGGAGATGAATTGAGGTCCGCGATCTGAAAGGATCTCCTGGGGGATTCCATGTAATCGGAAGACGTGTTTAATCAGGAGCTGGGCGGTTTGGAAAGCCGTGGGAAGTTTTCTAAGAGGGATCAGATGACAGGACTTTGAAAATCGGTCGACAATGGTGAAGATTGTGGACATACCTCGGGAGATGGGTAGACCAGTGACGAAGTCGATAGCGATATGGGACCAAGGACGCGAGGGGACTGGGAGAGGATGCAGCAGACCTGAAGGTGGTTGGTGAGAGGCTTTGTTTCTGGCGCAGGTAGCACAAGCCAAGACATACTCCTTGACATCTTTATGCAGGGTAGGCCACCAGAAACGTCTAGAGATTAAAGCCACTGTTCTGCTCACCCCCGGATGAGCAGAGAATTTGGCAGCATTCATCCACTGTATCAGGCGAGATCTAACAGAAGAGGGGACATATGTTCGGTTAGCAGGTCCGTTACCTGGGTCAGGTTCAGAAGCCAGGGCTGAGTTTTATAAGATCGGTGATCTCCCATGTAACTACTCCAACAGTGCAGGATGCGGGTAGGACAGGTTCAGGCGTCTCGGAATGATCAACGGAGTAAAGACGAGAGAGAGAGTCGGGTTTGACGTTCTTGGATCTGGGTCTGTAAGAAATGATGAGGTTGAAGCGAGAGAAAAATAGGGATCACCTTGATTGGCGAGGGTTGGCTTGTTTGGCTGATTGGATGTAAGCTAGATTCTTGTGATCAGTCCAAACAAGAATCGGGTGCTCAGCTCCTTCCAACCAGTGTCTCCATTCCTCCAATGCCAGTTTTATGGCCAAGAGTTCTCGGTCTCCAACATCGTAGTTTTGCTCTGCGGAGGAAAGTCTACGAGAAAAATAGGCACATGGATGAACCTTTTGATCTGAGTCAAGTCTTTGTGATAAAACAGCTCCCACTCCAGAGTCGGAAGCGTCAACTTCGAGGATGAATTGTTTAGCTGGATCGGGTTGGATTAGCACTGGAGCTCTGGAAAACAAAGTTTTAAGTTTAACAAATGCAGCTTGCGCCTCGGGGGTCCATTGGAAGGTTCTTTTGACTGATGTGAGGGAAGTTAGTGGAAGAGCTGTTTGACTGTAATTTCTGATGAATCTTCGGTAAAAATTGGCGAAACCCAGGAATCTCTGTAACTGCTTTCGATTTTCGGGTACTGGCCAATCCAAGACTGCTTTTATCTTATCTTCTGAAGGTTTAATCTGCCCACCCTTGAGCACAAACCCCAAAAAGGTGACTGAAGACTGATGAAACTCGCATTTTTCGGCTTTGACGAAAAGTTTATTTTCCAGTAGTCTTTGTAACACTAGGCGGACATGTTTCTTGTGATCAGAATGGTTCTTGGAATAAATGAGTATGTCATCAATGTAAACGAACACGAATACATTCAGGAAGTCTCTGAAAACGTCATTAACTAGGGCTTGGAAAAATGCAGGGGCGTTAGTTAGACCAAAAGGCATGACCAAATATTCAAACTGGCCCAAGGGAGTTTTAAAGGCTGTTTTCCACTCATCTCCGTCTTGAATCCTGAGAAGGTGATAAGCATTCCTCAAGTCAAGTTTGGTAAAGGCAGTAGCCCCTTGAACGGGTTCAAAAGCTGAAGCGAGTAGTGGGAGAGGGTACTTATTTTTAATGGTTATTTGGTTAAGGCCTCTGTAATCTACACAGGGTCTTAGAGAACCGTCCTTCTTGCCAACGAAAAAGAACCCTGCACCCAACGGAGAAGAAGAAGGGCGAATTATTCAGGCAGCTAAAGACTCATTAATGTATTTTTCCATGGTTTCTCGTTCAGGTTTGGAAATGTTATAAAGTCTGCTGCTGGGAAGGGGTGCTCCAGGTAATAGCTCAATAGCACAGTCATATGGTCTGTGTGGTGGAAGGGACGTAGCACTGACCTTACTGAAGACAGGAGCCAAATCATGGTACTCGGAAGGGACAGAAGTAAGGTCAGGAGAGTCCATCTCCCCCCCACCTCTAGGGGACCCCACAGCGGGAGCTGCCGAATGGAGGCATGTTTCATGACAAAGAGTTGACCAGGATTCCACATGACGATCAGTCCAGTTAATATGGGGATTATGTTTCTCCAACCATTCAAAACCAAGCACCAGAGGGGAACATGCGGAGGGAAAAACAAAAAATGTTATGGTTTTGCGATGATTACCTGAGATAAGTAGCTCGAGAGGTTGGGTTTGATGGCTGACCTGGTGGAGTTTCTTCCCATCGATAGCAGAGACACGAAGAGGCTGGGTTAGAGGAACGGTTTCAATTTGAAGCTGCTGGACAAGATTAGAGTCAATTAAATTTCGTTCACAGCCTGAATCGATGAAGGCAGAAAAAGAGAGGTTCTGATCTGAGAAGAATAAAGTGGCAGGGAGCATCAGACGAGGAGATTTTTCAGAGTTAACATGGCCCGTCCGACTCCTCGGAACCTCTGACGGGCCCTGTCTTTTGATTTAGCAGGGCACGAAGCGATGAAATGACCACTTTCACCACAGTAGATGCACAGTTTGCTCAAAAAACGTCTTTGTCTTTCCTCAGGAGTCAGCCTAGTATGTCCGACCTGCATGGGTTCGGTTTCTGTGGGAGCAGAAAAAACAGTCACATTATTTGAAGCAGGGGCAGAGGCAAAAGAACCCTGAATCCTAGACTTGGAGTTATTTCTAGCTCGGATCCTGTTATCCAGCTTAATTTTCAGGCGGATTAATTCCTCCAGCGTTGCAGGTTCGTCGAGGGTTGCGAGTTTATCCTTTATGTTTTCGTTCAAAGCCATGAAATAAGCCCCCTTTAAAGCACTTTGGTTCGTACCGGAAGCTGCAGCTTTTACCCGGAAGTTAATGGAAAACTCCGGCACTGAAGAACTTCCCTGTTTAAGGTTAAAAAGAGCACGAGAGTCAATCGTTTGATCAGTTTCTTGGTTGAATACTTGAGAAAATTCAGAGATAAAATCGGTGTATTGACAATTGAGGCTTTCGTCAGAGGCAAACCTTGCCTGAGCCCATTCCAGGGCTCTCCCAGTCAATAGAGACAAAATAAAGGTTATTTTCACATGATCTGTGGAAAAACTGCCAGGAGAGTTTAGAAAAATTAAACTGCATTGAAACAAGAATCCCTTGCAGTCCTTTATATTACCAGAAAATTTCTCCGGTAAACTTGGGCGGAAACCAGGTGATGACGTCACTGCCGGTGACCTCGGAGGCGTAACTGGACCCGGAAATGGTTGCGCTGCCGACGTGGCGTTAGCTCTGTTTAAGTGGTTAGCATTGTTTTGAACTACTTGGTTTTGTAAGTCAATGTGGGTGTTTAACCCACTGAGAGCTTGAACATGTCCATGGATTTGAGCCTCCCGCTCCTCCAATAGACGACGAAGGTGGTCTGCTGGGCCTTGTGTTTGGCCGCAGTGTTCTGTCATGATGGGTTCACTGATGAGACGCAGTAATGCAGAACACCACGGAGACGGAAACAAGAGTAAAAGTTTTAACAATGATTATTGTACACAAGCACATGGAATAATGTCAGGAACTGGTTCAGACTTGGGGACTGGTTCACTGGAGTCTGTGTAGATAACAGAGCAGTTAGCTTTGAGAGCAATTGGGTTTGGGTTTTGTGATGTTCAGGTTTATACCTTGAGGGTTCCGGTTTGAGCTCAGAGAGAGGAACTGTTGGGTCCAGAGAAGGTTTGTTTCAGCAGAGTCCGATAACTGCTTCAGCATCTTACTTCTGAAGAGGGAGCAGACCTTGGCTTTGGGTTTCTAGCTCTTAATCCAGAACTGCATGGGAAATCCAGAGAGGAGTCTTCGGGTTTGGCTCAGAGGGCAGGCTCGGCAGTCTAAGCTCATCCAGAGCTCACAGAGAAAAACTGGTTTCCTGGAAACAGAGACACAAAAGGATTAGAATCCTAGCAGGACTCAGAGAGCAATAAAAGATTCTCAGAAGGTTCTTTGGCTCAGGTGCTAACCAACTAGATTCAACACTGCGGCGTCAAGGCAAGGTCTGAAGACAGCTTTTATACTGTGGATCCTCTGATGATGGAACGAGCCTCAGGTGCGTCGAAGGGTCGGCTCAGGAGGATCCACGGCGGACTCTCCTGGAGGAAGGTGATACTTCTC